TTTTTAGAACAAAAAACTGATCAACTAAAGTTTTACAGAATTCTTCTGCATTTTAGAAACTTCAGATGTCTTTCGAGATTTCAAATCTTGTCATGTTAACTTTTTTTACTCTAATGGATTGTAAAATTATTTGTTGTATTCAAGGAACGGTTCTAATTGTTCAACGTTTGGATGAGCTTATAGAGATGGCATAAATACGCCATAAGTGCATTGACAAAGCTTTGAAGCATTTGTTGAGTGGGGGTGATGCATTTAATTTTCCCGAAAAACAAGCGATATAAAATAAAAAGTGGAATAAGAAAAAAAAAAGAATTAAAAGAAGAAAAAATCAAAAAATTTTGAAGCTTATTGCACCGTATTTTTTTCAGATTTATACTGATTGATTCTTTTTCTACTGTTTTTTTTTTTTCAGGTCAATCCTAAATCTAAGTGAATTTACCGACCTCAAAACACGGTAGTTATTCTGTATTATTTACTTTTCATAAAAATTCAAAACATTTATGCTTATACAAGTGCCTCTGCATTTACATATCGGTAACAAAGAATAATTTTCAAATTGAATAAACTAAAGATGTAATATCGAAAAAAAAAGGTAAGAACTAATAGCTATCTTAATAAATTTTATAAAATTGCTGTAATTTACAGATAAATATAAGTCAAAATTAATTTGCTTGCGATGTAAAGAAAGAGGCTTAAAATTTTCACTTTTATTCTTCAATACCGATGTTTAATAAAAAGTGAAATAAATTAGTTTGGAATTTTCATACATTTAAAAACAATTTTATTGGCTTCTTAACTCTATTGCAGGATATTTTACAAAATTTAAGCCCGACAGAATTCCAATAACAAAAGAAAAAAGATTATCAATTCAAAGGATTAGCGGAGGTGCTCAAATCGAAAAAATTTATTTGCCATTTGGTCAAAATATTTGTATATCGGAAACAAGCAAAAATTTATTTGTTGTTAAGCTTAGAAACCTATGCATTTGTATGCATCGTCTAAAAATAAATCGCATTAACCGAACAAAAAGCGGGCGCCGAGTTTCCTTTTCTGTAACAAAGAGCGACTTTTCAGTTTAGAATTATTATTAGAAAGTGACTCCGTCAATATTGCTGTACCCATTAAAACGCATATTTTCTTTTTTGAGAATACTGAAAAGTAAACGAAATATTGGTGAAGAAGTTTCAAATTTTATAGAAAGTTGAATATATTTTAATAGCTACCGAGAAACTATGATTATTGCTGTCAAAAAATTGTACAGTCAATTTATTTGACCGGCAATAACATTTAAATATTGACAAATTTCCTAACCCATCTCCTTCTTTGACCCGTTTTAAAGTCAAAAAGTAAAAAAAAAAAAACAAAAAAGATCTGGAACATTTGACATTGTCATTCTGTAACTATTACAGTTATTATGTTGTTAAAAGCTGTTCATTGGAAGACGTATTAATTTGAAAGATTATCAAAAGCGAAATGAGAAGAAAATTTGAAGTAATTTCTGGTAACTATTTGTTCAGAAGAAGTAACAGTGATTAGATGCTAATCATTATAAAAAAAAAATTTTTTTTCCTATTTTTTGTTTTACCGTTAAAGATTTAAAGGTAACAAACACAGAATGTAACTGAAAAACTTCACTTAAAATAGTGAACA